AACGCTATATAGTAGTAAAAAAAGAACAGTCCTCTGTTGAAAAAAAAAGGAATTAACATTAGGTATTAGTATCTATACTTGTAATCATGTATCGATCATAGTATGTTTTGAAATGATACCATTGTTATAATTACAGTAGGTACCTATGAGGAACATAATGCTTTAGTTAAGCACATACGACCTTTTGAACATTTTTTAAAGAGTAGTTACACTTTTCATATAATGTTTAAATAACACTGACAGAGAAATAAAATACAGTAATTTGTTAACACGAGATGCTGAACATTTTAATTGCTGTAGTATCTTTAATTTTTAATACTAGCGTTAAATTCTTTCACTAAGATTTCCGATAATATAAAATCTTTTATTAATTGTAGGTAATAGATCTAATAATAATCTTAATTTCATGATGTAACTGATAAATGACTGGATAATTATTACAATAATATACGTTAGGTATGGAATTAATAGTATTGGCCTCAGTATTAGTCGGATATAACTATTTTTTCAAATTTTTGTGTTAATTTCGACGGATGTAATTCACATCATACACCTTCCTCTTACATCCTAGAAACTTCATGAATAATTAATGTTATGATCAGCAGAACGTTCCTAAATGGGAGGTAACTGTACCTTTTTAATTAATAAATAAATAATGTACTTAATGTAGTATGAGCGTTATAGGTATACGCTATATGCAGCCGTGACTTTTTACTATAATTAAATCCAACATCACGCAAAAAGGTTAATGTATCTATTTTAATTAACGGTCTACTTCTTTTTGCAAAATATAAATTAATTAACTTGCTTTGTATGACCTACTTTTCCCGGTTTCCGATATGCAGGAAGTGTTTCTAGGAATAATACTTTTTATAAATTTACTAAAAACGTGCTAGCGCAACGAACAAGTTTCTCTTTGCATGGCAAGCTGCTGAGTAATGAATTTATAAATTTTTTCTTAAAACCGGATTGAATATAGGTATTATAGGTAAAAGTATAATTATTTATTATTAAAATTTCAGTAAAAGTAGGCTTTAAATTCACCGAGAAAACAAAAAACATAACTATAGGATGTAGTATTAAAAAAAGGAAGTTTAAACATTCTGTTAAATTGAAAATGCGAAGAACTTGATTTGGTATAAATTTTATTTGAAACACGTTTTGTATAAGAAAAAATCTGCAGAAAAATTCATCTTTAGTGGACATCGATACACGCTTTTTAGCAACCAAAGTTGACAGGTGGGTATTATCAAAATTTTTATTGGGTTATTGTTATTAAAATAAAAATATATTTCATGATAAAATAAACATATTATTTACTATACAACTGATAAATTGCTATCTAACCTTATTCGACAGAATTATATCTACATTATTCATAGAAACATTGAAAAAATATAAAATCAAATGACTCACTGTAAGGTTTGCCAACAATGTATGTTTATATTCATAAAATTTGGTAACTAAAAAAGATAACAAATAAACTTGAAGAAATGTATCCTTTGTGTTAATAAATAAATGTTTTTATTCCTTACTAACTTTACTGCTTCTGATGTATGAGCCTATAGCTTTCAATTGAATTGTAAGCGAATAGATCGTGTGTCGATTAAGATATCCGCATATATTTTCATATTTTCCATCTTTTATTATTTACGTAGGAAGTACTTCAGAGGCTCAGAATGTGGGTAGAATTTTCTATGAATCAAATCAAAACAAAGCGTACATTTGACAGAGAACAATTACTTTCAAATTTTTACTTTTTTAACGTTATGGTCGATAGAAAGCATTTTCTCTATTGGTTTATTTATAAATTAATAAAACCTACCTACCCACCGAATCTATTTACCGATTTCAAATAATATAAAATAGTTTGGTGTTATAAAAACTAGTACTCGATGTGTCGTTAGTACAAAATATCTATATACACTGAGAAATAATGGGCACAAAACTAACTTTTTAAGTAGATATAAACACAATTTCTGTCTAGACACTTTTCTAGATTAGAAAAAAATATATACCTACGGGAATACGCAGGATCAAATATGATTTCGTCGAAAGTTTTAGCCTTCCTTAACAATTCAACAGAAGCAAAAGTTTGCTCATACAAAAGAAAAATACGAGCTATCTGTTTTACACATAACGGCCCAGATTCCCGAGTTCTCAAGACTGTTTTCTTTGCTTTTTTATTTTACTGTTACACAAAGAAAATGCTTGGAGTAATTATCAATGTTTCAGTTTTCGTGCTGTACTTACAGAATTATGTACTTTTAAGGCAGAATTCGTGATCAGCGTTTCATTTCTACCGTTCTAAAGTTGAATTTATATTTTTTAAATAGGGCGTTACCTAAGTTTTATCAAGATAAGAGAAACATATTAAAAATAATGAAGTGTTTCCAAAAACTCTGCGTATTTATTGTATATTTATGATAAGATTTAAAAATACAAACTTGTTTATTTTTGAATTGATAGATTGGATTTTATTGGTATTAAATGAAATCACTAAAATAATTCATTTGGCTTCAGTAAAAATAAGTTTCAAATTCGAGTTTTTTCTGACAATTTAATTACCTTTTATAGCTGGTATATTTAGTACTAGTCTTATATAAATCATATTTGTGTGATGTTATACAATTTTTTATATGTCTTTTCCAAGTAATTGGTATTTTTTGTGGTGTCCCGATTGCAGATTTTATCTTTAATTTATTTTGCCTTCTTTAAGTTATTGTTTTTAACATTCTGCAAATGAAAAATTAATCATTTCTAAGGCACCAGCCCAATAATAGGTACAGCTACCGACTCTTCTCTGGCGACTAAATAGTTGATCTATTCAGCAAAAGAGGGTGCCAGACGAACTAAATGCGACACTTTATATTCTCTTGTGTACTAAGGAACAATATGTTTAAATTAATTAACTTCTCAACTACTTCAGATGACATAATTGCACTAATGCTTAAAATTGTTAATTTACGGAAGTTTCCAAACTGCACGTTACAGTTTTAAGAACAATTTTACTCCGTAAATATGTTTATAACAGGTTTTATTAATTAATATACAGTATACGATATTTGGAAGATATTTCTTTCAAATTCATTTCCTTTTTAAGAAAAAGTGGAGGGGTTGTCCATCAATGTTATTCATCAAATACGACTTCCTTAATTTATTATATCTAGGAGGCTATTATAGGGGTATCCCTGTCTGTATAGACAGTGCAGTTAAAAATGAAATGTGAAATACTATTTTTCATGAGAAAAATAAAAAATTATGGACTTAATGTAACAGTTAAAACTCATTGAAAACTGCTTTGATGAACAAATGATTTGTACAGTTTAGGTACAGGCACCTAAGTTGATTATTTTGTTTTGAGTGAGCACATTCTAATGAGGTTATCGTGAGACTAAATATTTAGATTATTTCATTATCGGTGACGTAGACGTAGAACTATTTTTTTTGCATTTTTTATACTTATTTGATAATATTTTCTATATTCCGAGTCTATATTATTGTTTTCTTCATTTTTTCTGAAATAGACTACAAACAATGTAGGAGAAAGAAGTTAGTTAAATCTACAGTTTTAAAATTATCACAATTTTTTAAATTTTAGTATATTGCTAATAAAGACATTAGTATTTCTATAAAACGTTTGCAGAAGTTATATTTTACGATATCAGTTGTCTAAATTGCCAGTGAGTACCGCTATTGATATATGTAGAAAAAATGGAAAAGTACCTAAATATCTTCTATTTTTTCTTTTACAGTATTGACACTTTACATATACGATAAATTCGCTGTTCAATATACACTCGTAGATTCTTCTATTTGCCGAAGAAATGGATAGAAGGTGGGTAGTGCGTTTTAGAAAATAATTGTTAAATTCTATTCCTTTGTTTATTTGATTTTTTTGTTCTTCTTTTAGCAGTTCCGTAAAATAATTTAATTTCCCGGATTTATTGAAAAAAAAAAAAACTGAATTGAGCAAAATATATATTTTCTTCTATTTAAAGGTATGGTATTCATCAGGTGACACAAGTACCTAAATGTGAAAACACAGGTGCTTTTTGCATTAATCAAATATGACGAATTTATGTGCTATTTGCTTTCAGATGAAAGCATTTGAATGAATATACGCTAATCAATAGATTTATTGCAATAGTCACTGAAAAAAGTATTCCATAATGTATTTTTTTGTTTATAAAACTATAATGCTTACACGTTCCAACGACAGGACTATACGGTTCAGCTGAGTATTATTGTGATTCTACTATACGCATATATCTTTGTAGTTACAGTTTACAAAGGTTGGAAACTGGTCCTACATTGTCGAGTATTAAAAGGGCCCCACTTTGTTCTGTATTCCGTTGTGTTACTTTGTAATTCATTCAGAACTATTTTTGCATTAGCTAAAGACACTATTCTTTAATTTTCAATTGTGATTAATTTGATAACATCCCATTCCTTCACTTTCTTGAACAAAATCAGTATTCGATAACTGGACCACTGATTCCCTTCAGTATCAATTCATTCACATAAAAATCATTTTAACAGGAAGAGTACAGATTATGTCTCGGATTATGTCGTAGAAAAGGAAATACTAAATTGTTAATTATCTTTAACAAATTATCTTGAGAATGTTTGGAAATGGGAGTCAGATATTTATATCAAGATGAATGAAGTTGCTACTGGATTTACCCAAATCGTACAGCTACTTTAGGTAATCTCAAGCCGTTTATGAGAATTTCCAAGTCATATCTTTTATCTTAAGTTAAATAGTTGGAACGCAATAGTGCAAAAGGATTTTGCGAAAATCGAGCACTATGGAAGTAAAATCTTTCATCTTATTTTAACACCAAAATAAAAATCGGAGGGTTTAAGAAGTGTTTCCGAACTATGTTTATCTAAAGCCCGATTATTTTCTTCGACGTCAGTAAAATGCATATATTTTCTTTCTTAAGCTAACCAAATTTCAGAAAGCATTGGGGATTTAAAGCAACTACAGCACACACCTTTACTAAATCCATTTAACAGCACACACTAAAACTAAACTCCATCATCATACACCAACACTAAAACACACTGGAAGACTCTTCCTGAATAAAAAATAATCCAATTTTCCTAAAAAGCTACACACATCGCAATCCTTTTCAAAACGGGGTGATATATAATCCAGGATGTGACAACAAAAACTTTTTACTACTACGGATACGTGCCGACGACTCCGTCGCGTTACGAAACGCCGCTGCAACTCTCCCGCGGTTCCAAACTAAACTGACGCGCCTGCCGAGGATCAGTAGGCACCACACAGTCATAGCAGACTTGATTCAGACGATTCCGAGTCAGACAGCTGCATGCTTACAATATCTGGTCCGCACCCCCACTACGAGCGAATGACCAATGGAATTCATAAGGTCTGGTGTGGAGAGGGTAATAATGTTATTATTTTGTAATTTACAGTTGGCCATGTTTACACTCAGGTAAGCAAGATGCGGAACGCGGTGGTTGTGGTTTGTAGGTCTGTGAAATTGATGGATAAGATTATGATTGATCTGGGATATGAGAAAAGTGAAATCGGTTTTACTTTTCTTTGTTGAGGAATTTATATTTTTGCCGAGATTTGAGGTGATAAAGAAATTTTATTTACGTTATTTGGTAAATCAGTGGGCGGATTATCTGGCTTATCCATCAGATTTTGACTTTATGTTCATAAACCTAAACTATTTCTATAATCCCTCAATTTATCAAAAATCAGTTGCTCCGACAAGTGTACGGATTTGTATTAATTCGTTATTTTCCAATTATGTGAAGACATAAATGCTTGAACAATAAATGTTTATTAGGTAATATTTACATACTAGATCAAATTAGACTTATGTGAATCAACCCTATTTGCTTCAGAGAATCGTTTTTCCAGATGAAATAAGGTTTTCCTTAATGTATCTAAATATCGTCAATGTTTACGTGAAGTATGTCATTAATTTATTTCTTTCATAGATTTATTTTACCTCAGAAAATAGAAAGAGAACCTACATTTGTCTCAACCAAATGAATCATCTCGTCTAAGTCAAACGATTCAACTTTTTAACTAAAATCATTAAATCAACTCTCCATCAGTTAACATAATTATATAATACAACAATAAATACATAATTAATTGGTTTTAGTTAGTTTTTTAGTTAAATTTTAATATTCGGTTTAGGTGTTTAGGTTGACACTACAACGAATCAATTAAGTACAAGAAGAAATAAACACTGAAAAATTGTCTATACGATTCTTTATAAATAGTTAAATGGTTTTAGTTATTTGTCTTTTTGTGCTGCAAGTTGTGTAATATTTCCGTTAAATATATTACCATCATAATGAGAAATGCATTGATTCATATTCGGTGAAACTATATCAAGTGATTTACTTCAAACTACAATTCACTTTAAAAAAACGAAAAATTATTTGTAACTTGATATATCGTGTAACAGATATTAACTAATGTAGGTAATTAAAATATACAGTGTTTTTACTAACAGATACACGAACAAACTGAAACAACAAAAAACGAACAAAATCTACACATTTAGTGGAACTATTTATTTTCGTCTAGATCTCTAGAAGGGAACAAGCAAAAACCTTTTCCCTATTCCTATTAGAAACATCTGTTGAGCACAAAATTTATATCTAATTCGCTCCCTCTCTCTGATGTATTGTTACGAATCATACTCGACAGGGGGCTACTTTTTTTATTTACACCTCCTTTGGGTTGTGGTGCTATTGAAAGTAATATAGTTATATTAAATTTATGTGAAGAATTTCTAACAAGAGGTGGCGCTAGTAGTATTAATTCTATTTGTGAACAGTTTGTTACCTGAGACCCATACCTTTTGACTGAAGTTTTTATACCTGGATAAATGCTTAGTATAAATTTGAAAGTTCTAATTTAAGTACTATTTTTTTCACTATCTCAGCAATGGTGCAGTAAACTTTTTAGAAATTAAAGAAATTGAATTTCTAAAAAGAGAGAAAATTCCACATTATTATTGCAAAAAGCAATGGATGTTGATGAAATTTATGGAATAGACCGTCAATCAAAACACCAACATGTGTGCCAAAGGCCGATTCATTGCTCATGAAATTGTTGCATCAGGTATTTGTTAATTAATTTCGTTCATTTTTTGCAACTAAATGCAAATAAAGAGAAATCACCTACGCCTCTTTTATAACTTTAATTGTTAATTTACTATATTAGACGTATCAGACAGGGATTTTAGAGACAATTAAAGAAAGAGTTCAACTTTTATTTTGAAAAAGTTTTACATTGATAGTTCATGTAATAAACGCCCTAGCAGTAGTAAAAGTTAACGTTAATGAACGGTTCGGTCTGTATCGCTTGATCAATTTTGATGAATTTTGTTTTGATGTTAGGTATCTCGCCGAGACGAGCACAATGCCGCCATAAAATCTATACGTTGTCGGTACTAATCCGTCGCAAATTAAACATTTATAAACATAAATATTTATAAATTAAAAATATTTATACAAATTCAACTTCTGACTGATTATCTTTTAAAAATTCCAAGAGAATAAGGACAGTACAAAAATACAAAGCAATAACGATTTATATTTATACAAATTTACTGTTATCCAATTTTACTTTTTTTTTTGGCAGGAATAAAAGCATCACCATGTTCGTCTTGTATGAAATCTGCATCTTCAAAAATGCTTTCTGTAAATTCTTCGATGTCATCTGACAGTTTCTCGATTATAGGTCTCTCTATATTTTCGCACGATTGGCTATGGTAATTTTTGCAAATTTCCGTACATTTCAAGCCGTGTTTTCTGCAGCCACAGCATCCATCATTTTTTGTAATAATAATGCACAATTTTCTATAACTGATTTTTCAGCGTTCGGCCTTTATTTTACAGTTAACAAATTGGTGAAATATGATAGATACCTTAAATTGTAGGCAATTTAATTGTCTACAATATAAGCTAATTAATTTTCCAATAGGTCGTCTAGATTTCCGTTGCCAGTAAAAAAAGTGAAAAAGCACGTAAATTTGCAATTTGCCAACTAAGCGTTACTTCTTTCTAGTAACTTTTTTGATATTATCATTCTACATACCCTTTCCCGTCATAAAGTTCAATAAAATGTCTACTAATATATATATTTTTTTCATTTTCAGTTTTTATGATCTATGATATGATAGTGAATACATTTATCAAGTATAGTGAATGCATCTATCAAGTCTTGAAATTGCATATTTCACAATTAGATTGTAACTGTTACGGAAAAATGTGAATCTATACTTTGTAAATGTATTTACAGTGTGTAATATTATTCACAATTAATTGCAATATCTAAACATTTTCAAAATAGAAATATTACAATAGATCGTTATGTTTGCTCTATTTATCTTTACCTACCGTTTGTTTACTAAACGTTGACTGTGTAACTAAATTAAATTTAAAATATCTCCATTGTAGCCGCGATTGCATTGGGGGGGGAGCAAATAATATAATTTACTAAGGACGTTATTTCTGTGGTAAGTATGGCATACAGTGCCACGAACAATATTCTCTGAAAATATTTTATTACGAAATTTCTGCTCCAAACAAACTCAACGAAGCCAGTAGCGGTATGCAAATTTTGTGCAAATAAAAATTTTACGATTTTAAATAAAACACATTTGTTCGTATGAGATTTATGTAGAAGTTTGTCTATGTTGCAACGTCAATTTAAAAGTTATACGCTATATTTAAATTCAAAAATCGGATATGGGCTGTATTGGGAGACGATTTCAAATTATGCATTTGATTTTATGAAATCGTAACTATAAAGTTATAGTTATTTCTAGTTATATGTGGGTATTGATAGAATTCAAATAACAGTTAAAATAATTGTTCACATCAGATAAATAGAACTGCACCAATAAGTTTCAAGATGTGTTCAAAGATTACTAATCTATATTTATACAAAAAATTATGTTGTTTTAATAAAAATTTCGTTGCCACATAAGTTAATGTAAAATAACTAATACGCAGTTTTATATAAAACCTCTATGTGCATGTAATAAGTATATATTGCCCAAAAGTGGTTAAATATATAAAAAACTATGCCGTTAATCGTATTTCAAATCATCATGTATTTATGTCATTATGACACGTTAGTGTAGTTAAAGTACAATAGAATGGTAAAAGATTCTTTGGGAGTCGGAAAATGCGACTCAAATCAAATCAAAAGAAATATAGGTACATCAAAAAAATGGTCACGATAGGTAAATCTTAACATTTTGAAGATTTCTTTTTAATATTACATATTAATGTGTTTTTTTAATTAATAATATCTAGAGCTATTAACATATTTTACAATGTGCTTTATACCAAAAATTTAGATGGAAAATATATCTAATTTCATAGGCAAGATCCTGTCGTGGTTAGGTATGGCTAGCTTCTATTTCGTCCGACAACATGGCCCCACGATGAGCGCCACGTCGTGGGGGTATGTTGGTTGCCTCCTGGGTTGATCCCGGCTGTTGAGACCAGCCAGTTTCTCCCCTGAGCATCATCATTGGGTTCAAGACCCGTGTGATAGGACGGGAAGGATCGGGTTATCCAGTGTCCCTTTTCACCTCCGGTACCAGTGCGTTGGACGCCTGCTCGGGGGCTGGAAAGTTCCCTGGCACCTCGTTCCTCTTCCTCTTGATGTACGGCCCTGCGGCCATCATCGAGGGGAGGTGAGATTTCCGATCCTTCGCCATCGTTCTGAGTTTAATATGTCTAGAGATTCCACAATCTATTTGCTTCGTTTGTTGTGACCGAATCGGCCGTTGGAGCACTTCATTAATCTGGTTTCCACTTAGGATTTTGGAAACGGGGTTCGGGCTTTTGTGTCACCCTATATGCACTTGGTTCGGGTCTGATATCCTAGTGTCTGAAAATTACTGTTTTTGATTCACTATTTTTTAATTCACTATGTACGGACTCGGAGTGCCGGTACTGAGGCTTTTAAAAACTTGGTGTAGTGTGGAGCTGACCAAGAGCGTTAGAGCTCGAGGTTTATGTATTTTTTACCTGAGAAATAATAACTCAAGAGTAAGTAAATATATATCATTTATTTAAAGGATGCCGATAGTACAGAATGCTAGAGGAGCGAATTCTTTTCGAACGGCGAGTGGTAGACTCTCACCAGGAAATGTATCCTGGCTTTTGGGACGGCCAGTGTTCGAAACTCACCAAGTACTGTGCCCTGGCTGCTGCGTGGATTGGTTCAGTGACACCTTGTTTCGGCCCGCGACGTTTAC